AGGTGGAAAACGTGTTACTAAATAAAACAAAGATTAGTCTCCTAAAGTTGAGACACCATTATAAGCAAAAACCTACAGTTAATTTTAAGGATTAATACCTCAAAATGGAGAGAATTAGTGAATTTTAAAAAAAAAAAAAAAGGATTCTACTGTTCTGTTACAGCTACTGTCAGCTGAAGGTTATGTTCTTAGAAAGGCAAAAAAGGAAGCAAGTGACTGTTAGTTCAAAAAAAAAAATAAAGAACAGCTAAGATGAGATGCTGCTGGGAGACTGGGTTCTCACAGAGGAAATGCCATAGCTAAACCTTTGGAAAAAACCCATAAAAACAAACTTTTATACCTGAAGATGAAAGATTTCTATGCTGTTGACTGAGTCAGTTCAGAAAGTTGTATCTTCTCAAATCCAGGAAATTAGTATAAATTATAGGTAAAAATCAGCTATGATGAGGATAGTACCCCAGGCCACAAGTTATGCCCAACAGAATGCTTCCTAATATTAATCAAAGACACATTCTTAAGAAATGAGCAGGAATATTCTATGTTTTAAAGTCAAACATGGGGTAGTTCAAACAGGATTGGGATTTGGACAGCAAACTTCATCAGATTCTAGAATTAGAAAGTCTTGGCATAATGATTGAATCCTGGGATTCCACAGTGAAGGAGCCTGATACCAAGCCATCTTGGATTTTTTTGTGCAGCAGGAGCATTCTTGCTGAAAAGAAGTATCAAGAGGAAAAGCACAGAACGGCTTTCCCAATTAGGGAAGCTGACAGCAGCCCCACAACCTGTCGATCCCAGGAACAGAAATACTAGCACTTCTGGTTAGATTCCAAGATGGACAGTTAAATTTTGGAGTACCCCATTCATAAAAGGCGCCTTCTAAGATACCATCTCACACTGCTTGCAATACATTAAATATTTAACGTCTATGTACACATTTATATGTTTGGTTTCATTGCTTGGTGCATTACTTTCACAGATCTTGTAGTATTTTATTTTGCTGATACAGAACTTGGTAGAGATATACTATCTGCTGCAAGCAGGGAGGGCTGAAAGGATGAATTGGAAGGTCCAGTGTGTACCTTTCAATGTGATTTCCAGAGTGCTGTAATTTGCACTCAACAGGGACTGCACGTCTTTAGCTTTCATTTGAATTCCTTAAAGCAACTCCTTAGCTGCAGAGAAGCATGCTTCACTACTAACCTGGAAAGCAAAAGTCTACTGTTCACATGATCTGACACCCATTACCACTGCAGGGAGTTTCTTAACTCACTCAGGGTCACCCGTCTAGTAGAGTAAGCTGGGAAACAGTTGAGCAAACAACAGTTGGTTCAAGTTACTTTTGCACAGATTTCATACAGAGGCTTGTAAAACATCCAAAACTAAATTTTCAAACCGTCAAGCACGAACCTGCTAGCAAGATGCAACTGGTATGGGCTGGTTGTAAATTTTGATAACATTTGGCCCAAACAAAAGTGACATGTTCTGATCTTCCCATTAATAAAGAGACACAACACAGAACTACCAGTTAGAACCCTGACCACAAGTTTTGCAGGTAGACTGTTTAGATGAAGAAAAATGGGGGCTTGTGAGCCCAGAAAGATGAGGATGAAGATCCTGGGAAGTCGAGGATGATCCTGGAGATCAGAAGTGAATGCTGGGGAATGCCCTGGGACCACAGCCTGTAATGCCTCAGACTGTTAACCGCAAGCAGCTGCAAAGCAGGGGTTGATATGGCTTTCTGCCCCATCCTTCCACAACAGCAGCGTTTCCCTTGCTGGGAAGAAAAGTTGAGACCTCAGTAAACACACCAGCAGGATGGGAAGCAAGTGAGGGACTGTGTGAGACAGTCAAGCAGGGGTATAGTTCTAGTTTCCTTGATTCTAATACAAACAAAAAAAAAAACCCCAAACCAAACCAGTACCCAGATCCGCTATAGGCTGTCATTTACTGACTTACCTGTGACACCATGACACACATTTGTTATGATTCAACTACTTTGTAGCCTGTCCTTCATTAAGTGGATGTAAGACTTCCACTCACTGCAGACAGCTCAGAGTCCTGGAAAACTGATGTAAAACGTCTGCGCCCTTTGAGTTTGCTGTCCTGTGCATGTGGCCACTTGAGTGTCCCCTCAGTCCAGGATGACACATTTATGTCTACCATAAACCAGGCAGGGGGAACTGAAAAACCATTTAGGTACATACACTGATCTGATTTTGACAACACAGAAGGGAATTTTTCACTTTGTGACAACCTGCTTGTCTAGAGCATGTAGAGCAAGAGAAGACACTAAAAAAAGTCACATTTGAAGACAGAAAAAGAATTCTGGAATGAAGCAAGGAGCAACCTCTGAGCCCCAGGAAAGACATACCATTTATTAAAATACATAGCTGAAAGGTCAAGCTCTGATTCATTCATTAAAAATAGGAATCTGTCAGGCTGTAAGGAAGCTCTCATTAACAGGGGGTCTAACAGACTCAAAGGGTACAGTGAGTGAATGTCAACCTTGAGGCCCAGATATTGGAAAAGTAACTACATCAGAGGTTTCAAAAGACTGACAAACCATCCATCCCTAATAACCATTCACTGAACTTAAAGGAAAATGAACATTTCTGATACTCAGCAACTATCACCAGCATCAGAGAAGACTCTAAAAAGACACTGTCTGGACTGAAGGGTCCTGAACTGTTACTAGTTATGCAAATGTTACTGGACCACGCAAATGAAGCGACAAGGATTGGTAGCAATAAAATCTATTTGAGATCGTAGAGACAAATGTGAATCAATCTTCTTCCTCCTCCTCCTCCCAAATATCTCACAGACAGTCTGCTGTAAGAGGCTGTACTGGGTCAAGCTGCATAGTGCTGTGCTTTCTATTGGTATGTAGAAAGGGGTTGATAACACACCAGTATTTTCGGCTACTGCTGAGCAGTGCTCGCACAGCGTCAAGGCTGTGTCTCCAACATTCCCCCACCACTACCAGTGGGCTGGGAGGGGGAAGACCTTGGGAGAGGACGTAGCCAAGACACCTGACCCAAACCGACCAAAGGGATATTCTATACCATATGAAGTCAGCTCCAAGATAAAAGCTAAGGGGAAAGGAGGAAGATGGGGGAAGGGGGTGCATTCATTTTTTATGACGTTTTGTCTTCCAGAGCAGTGGCTAAGCGTACTGAAGCCCTGCTTCCTGGGAAGTGGCTGGACATCGCCTGCTGATGGGAAATAGAGAATAAAATCTTGTTTTCCTTCTGCTACCACATGCGGACTTTGCTTTTGCTTTTTATTAAACTGCCTTTATCTTGACCCATGAGGGTTTTTTTTCTTTTCCATCTCATTTTCCTCCTGCCCTGCTGAAGAGGGGAGCGATAGAGCGGCTTGGTGGCACCTGGCATCCAGCCAAGGTCAAACCATCATAAAGATCAATTTCTGAAAAAACCCCAACCACAGCCAACTTCTTTTTTATTTTTTTTTTAATTTTTATTAGTTGTAGGGTGGAGGGTGTTTTGGTTTGGGTGTGTTTTGGTTTAACACTAGGAGTGGCCATTGCAGAGCCTTGTACCCCAACAGCACTTATAACTGTCACCACAAAATTTGTGGACAGCAGCGTCCATTTCCAGGCAAAGCAGATACTGATGGAGACAGTTTTTCTTAGTCACTTTTTTAAGACTCCTAGTGAATCCCAATCCTACTTTACAAGGGAAAAAACTAAAACACACGCACAATGAAAACCTAAAACCCAATTCACATCAAGTAAGGAACTATGTTAAATATAAAGATACTGCCCCACTGCGCAAATTCGCTGAAGAAATAACCTCTGCTAAATCCTGCCCACACATAGCAAGGCAGCTAAACCAGTAAATCCTCACCAATCTTTCCAATGATTAGCAGGATAAAAATCTCAGAGCAGCATCAATTTTTGATGCATATAAAAAGGAAAAAAGCCAAAGGAAAGTATCGCTGGTGCCTGCCAAATATATGGAAGACAGTCAAATGCTTATTTATATGAACCAGGAGAAAAGAAAGAAAAAAAAAAAAAAAGAAAAGAAGAAGAAAACATTCCTAGGAAAAAGTCTGGATATTTCAAGAATTTGTCAAGAATAACTATAAGCGAACGATAAACACTTTAAAGCTATTCTCTTTTAATTTGTATCTTAATTATTCCTTCTAAAGGAGACTACTTTAAGTGGAACTTTCACATTCTTTTCTATCTAGTACAAGACTCCATTGATGCATGACACTTTACATGAACTAAACACAAAAACTTTAAGTGGGTTTTTCCTATAGACCTAAAGCAGGTTTCAGGCAGTTAATATACACAACTTTTTGCTGAGCTGTCTCAGCTTAAGTCTAACCCATATATCTTCCTCCAATGAAGATGATGGCATCCTTTTACAGCCTTAACCTCTTGCTAGAGCAAGCAATGGGAGCCACAGTATACATGTATTTCTACATTGTCCTTGCTATATAAGATAGATTTTCAATTTAATGTTACCTTTTAGAAAGCTGCTAAAAATCTCTGTTTAATTTCACTAAGTATTTCATGTCCTTTTGTTGTTTAGGGGAAGTTAACGCAACAGATGATTAAGAATGGATGGTTCTTAGAAGTTTACTACAGAAAACAATTACTTAGGTCTACTGACTACATAGTAGAGTCTTCCACAAGTCACTGCAAGAATAGAAATAAATTCTCTAAAATATTGCCAGATTCATTTAAAAGTTTTTACCACAGTGCAGTAAAACGAAGGAAAACAAAATCCTGCATTGTATCCACTATAGTAATAAACAAACTCCCATTATTAAACAATAAAAGGCAATGACAATAATCAACACATCAGTGGAAACACTGGAGCTAGAAAGCCAAGATTCTGGTTTAAACTTTTTATAAGAAGAGATATTTCACAATACATTCTGACAAATTGCATATAGCATTCCTACACAAATAGAAAATTGAAAAGCAGTGCCTTACTAATGAAAGTGCCAAGCAAAATATGCCTTACCTGAGTTATTCCACTGGGAGAGATCTTGTACGACTGCAGCTTCTGCTTCAATAGCTCAGGATCACTATGGCGGAATGGGCACCCTGACAGGAAAAAGCAAGCAAGCTCACAAATGAGGCTGTTTACCCAGGAGTTAGAGCAGTAGAGACTCAAGAGACCAGCTAAGCTGTTCCTAATTGCGTAACAGCTTATTAATAAGAAAGTTAATTGCCCATGTGTACAATTGTTTATTTTTTTTTTTTTTTAAATAATTACTCCACTGCATGGTTATCAGGGCACCACAGGCTCAAGAGTTACATAAAATACCCCAAGATAAACAGGCCACAATTCTCATTCACTGACAGGAGGAGTTTTAGTTAGTTCCTCACTAACAACGATAGCGCTGGCACATTTAATAGCTGTGAAAAAAAACAGGGAAACACAAGTAATGAGAGGCAACTGGTCTTTAAAGCACAGTCCTTTGTAAAAATACTACTTTATAAACACCTTAGAAAGTTCCACCACCTTAAATAAAAGTGGGCTTTTTCTGTCCCAGAATTAGTTTTGAGACACAACTGAATGAATGGCAGTACTAGAATAATAATGGTGAAGCTGGTGCAGGTTTTCCATGTCTATTCACACAGAGGTAGGAGGTTTTAAAGTACCCTAGCAAACTTCAGAATTTCTGTATGATTGAATTTGTATCTCAAAAGACCTCTAATTGGTCACTTTCTAAAGCATCTGCATAGTTAAAGTCTCCTTGCACTGCATGACACAATGTATATAAAACCAGAAGCCATTAAGTGCAATCTAAAGAGAACAGTGCACGATCACTGTGGCCTAAGTTAAATACATAATTTAAGAGGCTACAGGAGGCAAGAACTTCTAGTCAAGGGTTTCTACTGGTTTTAAACTTTTCTGCACGATCACTGTGGCCTTGAAGTTAAATACGTAATTTAAGAGGCTACAGGAGGCAAGAACTTCTCTAGTCAAGGGTTTCTACTGGTTTTAAACTTTTTTTTTTTTTTTTTTAAGGAACTCACCATGATAATCCCCTTGACTTGGTGGATTGGACATGATAATCTTCATGCAGCTGTATGGGGTATAATCAGTTCTCTTTCCTTCTTTTCCATAGCTGTGGCGAATGCTGTAAGCATATCCTTTGTCAAACTAAATAAAAACAAAAGAATAAATTATTACATAATGTGTCAGTGATTCTATCTGCTCTGCAAATAGAAATACTGGAAAACAAAATAAATCCTCCAAACGTATGCAAACTGAGAAAAATAAAAATTGAGTTGGTGCTGCTAGCTTTGAGTTTCATATTACATGGACTTGTATATACATATATACATGTTTTACAGACACATCACCAAATAAGTGTGTAACTGCATTTATTTAAGGTCTTTTCAGCTGGTGTGGTAATCGCTTTAAAGATAAGATGATTTAAAGATCAAAATTCTGAACCCCATGATGCTAGTAAATGCAGAAAAAATAGTAATTTTAAATCTTTCATAAATGTCCATAAATTGATTGCTTTAATCAGGGCAAAAAATAGAAATACAGATTTTTTTTTACTCAGCTTCACATTCTTATTTTCACAAAGTGTAATGTCTCACCTATACTTTGTTTCAGCACTGAAGTTCAATTCATTAGATTCTAAAATGAAGTATACTTTGCTTGTACAAAAGAGAAAGATTTTAGTAAATCTCTTCTGTCTACCAATACAATACCAACTCCTCCAATAAACTGAAATCTTCTAAATTAATATAGATGTAAACAAACATTTATCTTGGCAGCTGAGTAGAGTGCTATCAATATATCATTTTAGATAAGTCCTGTGGATAACATTCAATGACACGAGTTCATGTTATTTTATATAAGGCAATAGGTGACGAAATCTGTAGCAGAATCAGGTAACTTTATATACAGATTCTGTTAAGTTGCATTAACTATTATAAAACATCAAGGAACATCTGTTCAAATACCATACCTCTAGTTCTAAAAAACCCCAAATAGGATAAAATAATGAAGCATTATATTTAGAATTACACATTCTCAGTCTCTCTTCTCAAAAAAACTATGAAAATGCATAAAAGAACAACCGTGCTCTTGCTCAATTCAAAATTTTAGCATTAACCTTATGTAAAAGTTCTGTGTCTGAATTAAATATAAACAACTCCCATAAGAATTTACATTTTCTTCTCAAAAACCACTTTAAAATAATTTTTTACTTTGATATCTAATATAAGACAATGTAATATACCAAGAAAAATCATTTAGGCATACAACTGGTAACTCTACTACTTCATGGATGCTCTCATTTCTATAGATAAAAGTAGTTCTCTGTTTGGCCTGTGGATTTTCAAATAGTAATTCAGAATATTCATATACCTATGAACCATCTTGACCTGCTAAAACATGTCTAAAATAAAATAGAAAAAAATTATATTTTTCTTCATATTAAACACTTCAATGTTTTTGAAAAATATAAATAATTGAAAACCTATAACATAATATGCAAATACTTCATAAGTGTGTATAAAAATATACACAACCTTTGAGAATAAAATCCTAAATTGCACCTGATTCTGGAAGGGTAAAAACTTCTCTATCAAGATGCTGGTCATAATCAAGTCAATGTATCAAAAAGAGTAATATCCAGCACTACTCCCAAATAAGGCTTAAGACATCCAAAACTCTGAACAAACACTGACTAATTAATCCTTACTGAGCATTTGACAAAGTGACTTTATTCTACTTCAGAAGGTTGTTTTTAGAAGGGGGGAGAGAGGGAAGAAAAGAGAGAAAGAAAACACATAGCACTGAGTTTTCCAGCATAGCCACGGTCAGGATCCAGCGCATAGAAATATTCCTATCTAGTCAACCCTTTTCCCTGGGAGGGAAAAGAACTGGTTGGGTGAATAGTAAATGAACACTATTTTTTGCTAGCAGGAGTTGGGCTTACCAACTATTTATTAGAAAGAAGAGCAAGACTGCATGAGGATCTGCTGTAAGTGTGTGCACATACTCGAGAAGGGTACATACCCTCTCCTCAAGCAGGGCAAGCAGCAGCTGCTGGCTGAGTCCTGCTGCTGCTCCTGTGGGAGCTGCAAATGGTGTATTTACTCCTGAAAACCAGCAAACATCAAATACAAAGATGTGTGTATTTTAATTCCCAACCTCTAAGTGAACCCGTTAAACTGAAGATGGAGCCTGTGATTCTATAGCCACCTATTCTTTCATCCAGAAGCTCTGGAACCTTTCCTCCTTCTTTGCAAAAGATGAAAGAAAGCATATTTCATTTGCTTAACAAAGGGTATTTGAGCAAGCAGTTATATTAGATTAAATTAGGTTTTTGTAAGCGAAAAGCAAATCTTGAATGCTTCAGGATGTATTGCTTAGTTTGCCAAAAAATTAACACCCCTCTTTAACAGTTCTGTATACTAAAATCTTGAGCTTTTCACATCACTTGCGTTAATGCCCACAGAAACTACTTTTACTACCTAACTCATTATTTTATGCTGAGAAGCAGCTCTTGCAGTAAATAGAAACAGCAGCTACATAATAACACAATACAGCCTTGGGACAGGTTGGATATTTTCTCATTGCTTTCTTGTAGCCCTGTTTGGATCTCAGAGTTTTCGCAGTGGCAGATGGCAGAGAAGAATAACACAGCTACGTGATGCAAATTAGCACACGTGCAGCTACATGCTTCACTAGGAGCTCTCTCATCCTTGTGATTCAGCATGTCTCATCACTGATTAAGGAAACAGGATTTTAGCAGGGCCAATATCCAACCAGCTGTGTGGTCATCCTCAGTGGGATGAAACCCTGAATTGTGGCATTTCATTTCAGAAAACACGTCCTGCAGAAGAGCCCTCTCTACATTGGGGGATGAACTCAATGCTCAGACTCACTCT